CAATCATACCAATCGTACCAATCATACCAATCGGCAAATTAATTATTTGCTGACATTTTGATAGATATATATATAAATTGATGCGCAAATCTTTATGGTTTTCTAATTAGTATAAAATGATAAACTGTGGCAAAATATTGTACAAGTGTTTCTTTAAAAAATTATGCACTATCTAATTCATAACTAATTTAATTTTAATAAAAATTATTTATAAAACATTAGAAATGGCTCGGCTCAGAGAAATACATGTAATTTCAACTCTAGTTAAGAGTAAATTAAACCCTACATCTTACAGTGACGTACTCTATGAAATAATGCATTATAAAATGGGAGTAAATTCGAGTGTACTTCAGTATAAAAGCTATACACCATTTCCCTGCTCTTTATGGAAACAGAAAATAAAGTCATTTGAATCATAAGCTAATATACAGAGATTTAAAAAAAAAAAAAACACCAATCTTGATAAAAAGTATTTTTATTGCCACATTTGTAAATTTGTATTATATACTCTTAACAGATGATACTATTAAAAATAACTGAAAATTGTATGAGGTCTTAGCAATCAATGATGACAGTTGTGATTCTAAACACAATCCTTCTTAAATGGTCTTACTCTTATGGGACCACCGTCTAAGCTGACAAAAAAACAAACAACTGGGGAAATCATTAAATATTATTATTTTTTGTTTTATGGTTGTAGGGCAAAAATAAATCTATGCCCAAAATATCTCTAGAATAGAATAATGAAAAGCCATTTTATAATTGAAGATATGTAACAATTGCCAATAAAATATCAACTACAACTAGTGAACATTTCACTAGCAGAATCTGTTAGTTTATAGTTTGATGTAAAACTAACCACACAACCTAATGCCATTCCATTGGTAAAATACCTAATCATTGTGCACTGTCCCCAACAACCATGACTAGCTTATCTGAATCATAATTACGTCTGAATGACGGTCATGACATGGCATGGCACCTGAAAATACTCTGGCGTTTAGTTAAGTAGAATGGAAATTGTTTAACATTAAAACATGGCGATAGAAATAGCTTTACTTGTAAGAAAATAGAGTTGGCGATAGAAATAGCTTTACTTGTAAGAAAATAGAGTTCATAATGAAAGAAAGCAACCCAACTCCGTAATGTTTCTGACGATGTCATAAACAAAAATGTTAAGCTAGAAAGCTGTGCTCAATAACATGAGTTAAAAAATGACAATTTGGTTTTTAGCCCAGCCCATTGCATAGTTTTTGAAATAAGAGTTGATTTATCTTTCAGTAATGTCTCAAGAAGCCTTGGCACCGGCTGTGTCTGTTTCAAGTTTAAGAAGCACACCATGCTTTTCACTATTGTCAATACCAGTCTTGCACAAGACATGTCTGCCCCCCCCCCCCCCAACGGTAATCCCATTTGTTGAATGAAAAGTTATGGATGGCCTGTAGCAAGTGGCACCGCAGTTTCCACCGTCAACAGAAAGTTAAATCAATGTATCACAAAAAGTAAACCCTTCTGAGACAAAGTACGACAGCCACAATTTTTTTTTGTTTTGTTTTTCGCACCGGTGATGCTTTTCTGCTTTTCATGTCAGATTGTTTTGATGTTAACAAATAAAAAAACCCACCCAGACCATTTGTTCCTGCTGATGAAGGCTGATTCATGACATAGGTTTTTTCCACTGTAGCTGAGCTCTCCACCCAATAAGCCATGTGTTACAAATTGAAAGAATTTTGGTTGGCACCGCTGGTTAAGAGCAGTTTTTTTTAGCAGACCTGGACGTCAGAATGAACATTTCCTCACATCTTATCAAAATTGTCATTTGAACATTTTGCAAAAAAAATATATATCTTTATTTAAAAGAATCTGAAGGGGGAAAAAAATGTAATTATGTCAAACACACAGACTTTATACATGAATTACATAAAGAAAAAAACTGGTTTGTCTATTGACACAGTCTTCTTCAGCTGTCTATTTAACAGGTTAATATTCTTAAGTTAACTGAGCCCAAACAAATGCCACCAATAAAAGTATGCACTTGCCCCTACAGGTCTATTGTATGGTAGACTTTGTAAGGGAAGATAAGACTTTTTATTTTGTCTCTCTAATGCTATTCAGCCAAGAAATAGAATGGAAAAATCCATGAGTATCTTTATGCTTAATCACACTTGATAATCTCTATCATAAACAAGACTCTCCGCAGCCCACAACATCTGACTTTAATGTTGTATGTATGAGAATGGAAGCCCTTGTACTACTTAGAACAATGGTGCAATGGAATATCAGAGAAGAAGACCACAGTTACCCACACAAAAAAATTGAGAAATGGTCACCATCAGCTTCTCATGTCCTTTGAAACTAAACATGATACTCAGGGGGGGGGGGGAAAGCCTGAACAGAAATATGCTAGAAAATAATAATGTAATTATTAAAAATTGAGGAAAAGATCAAATAAATTGGGTTAAAAAAAACCGGCTTCCAAGCCAAAACCTTACATCGGCTCCAAATAGGGGGGGGGGGGGAAAGCCTGAACAGAAATATGCTAGAAAATAATAATGTAATTATTAAAAATTGAGGAAAAGATCAAATAAATTGGGTTAAAACAAACCGGCTTCCAAGCCAAAACCTTACATCGGCTACAAATGTTCACTTGCCATCATTCTGCTACTGGTACAAAAAATAGAAATTAATTTCTTTAAAATGAAAAACCAAACAATTGAAAAAAATCTTATACATTATTCCTTGACGATATCAATGATAAACTTTGCACAAAAAAATCTGTGTTATTCAATAAACAATGGCTTCATAAGGAATAAAAAATACACACATTATAAAAAAGTTAGTTTACAGAAAAAAACCCCAAAAACAACTCTGTAATCATCTTACAAATAAAATGTCTGAAATGCAGCACAGTTGTATTTAAAGTTGCATATACCTGACACATGGAACAATAAGATACGAACCAAATCAAGCTGTTTTCTTGTTTTTGAAATAGACCATACAATTTATACAATTGGCAATACATTAACATCTAGTTGGAATTTTGAATTTTTTTTCTGAATTGGTATCCATATTTTTTTAATGGATACGAGATAAAATAACAGGGATGGGTAGCAAACAATTTTTCCCCCACAATTTTATATTCTATAGTAAAAGTAATATAAGACACTTAACCTTAAATCCCCAACAATGACTTCTTATTCCTGCACTAATTGTTCATTAGACTTTATATCCTCCAATAGGTTAAAACATTGCAAAATTTACCTCTAAAAAAATCACTTATATAAAACACTACACCAGTGGTATTCATCCTTTGACACCTTAAAACATGTGATACACACATGACGTATGCAGACCATGGCAAGAACTAATATTGTGCTCCTATCAAACTTGAGAAACCTATTTTTTTTCTTCTTTATATAGGTATGATTTACAATTTATTTTTTTTCTTCTTTATATAGGTATGATTTACAATTTATTTTACAAGGAGAGCAAAATAAGATCGGTGACTTGGTGTGCACCATTTTATCTTATCCCTTACATGCAGATGAACTCAGTATGCTTATTTTAGCTTATCCTCTACTCGCAGATAAACTTGTAAGGAAAAACAAATCATCTTTTTATAATATTAAGCATATACATATAAAAATCTTTGTTAGGTTGGCCAATTTTATGGCTCCCTTTAGGTGTAATCCCTGGCACGCGCCATGCCTTGCTACACCCTCAATAAAACTTTTCTTAAGACACATTAATTATTCAAGTTCTGAGACACAACACAAGTTGTTTTTTTTTGGTTTAAATATATGCCGTTTTGGTGAGGATCAGCGTCCAAGGACTTTATTACCCGGTAATTAGAATATATTGCTTTAATAATAGTCTTTTGAACATCTTAGAAACTGTTCTCCATCTAATTGTTAGGTCAAATTGTTAAAATGTTTTAAAAAATCTTCAATTAGCTTTAAATCTTGTGACTCCAGTCAACCTAGGCAAAACAAAACTTGGAAACTGCTGCATGAAAACAGTCCAATATTGATACATTATATCAGCTTCTCCAAGACATCACTTGGATGGGAATTGGCTACGACACTTTACTCTTACAGCTTGTATCAGAGTTGGCCACGTCACTTCACTCTTACAACTGGTCATTATGAACATACGATTGTTTGTCTTCTATAGGTCACAATTAGAAGACTAAAATAGCCCACAATAAATTGTAATGTGCCTCCTATTGTTCACAATAAGCGGTAGTGTGCCTACAACAGTTCACAAAAAGCTTCATTTGACTACCATTGTTTGCAAAAAGCTGTTTGTTAAGCTATATTGTGACTATAAACAAAACCACAACCTCCATTGTTACAATGTTACTCGCTACCAAAACGACAACTTTTACCAAAATACTGATGATAACATTAAGGTTTAGTATCACCTCAATCATCGTAAATAATAACATATGTTGGTCACATTTCACAGATATAACACATTGGATACACATAAGCTTGAAGAGCATCATACGTTTCCTTTCACTAAATCTTCATCAAGTAACAGACTCAAGTCAATTGTATCAATTCAGAAACTTCACTGCACAAGAATAAGGTCTTAGAATACTTCTCTCCATGAGCAAATTTCAAATATTGAGTGTGGTGACCAATAAGTGTCACGAAATCCATTACAATTTTAAAAAAATGTTTTTAAGTTGTAATATAAACACTTGCTTTCATCTGTCCATTCCAACACTTGCTTTCATCTGTCCATTCCAACACTTGCTTTCATCTGTCCATTCCAACACTTGCTTTCATCTGTCCATTCCAACACTTGCTTTCATCTGTCCATTCCAACACTTGCTTTCATCTGTCCATTCCAACACTTGCTTTCATCTGTCCATTCCAACACTTGCTTTCATCTGTCCATTCCAACACTTGCTTTCATCTGTCCATTCCAACACTTGCTTTCCTCTGTCCATTCCAACACTTGCTTTCCTCTGTCCATTCCAACACTTGCTTTCCTCTGTCCATTCCAACACTTGCTTTCCTCTGTCCATTCCAACACTTGCTTTCATCTGTCCATTCCAACACTTGCTTTCCTCTGTCCATTCCAACACTTGCTTTCATCTGTCCATTCCAACACTTGCTTTCATCTGTCCATTCCAACACTTGCTTTCATCTGTCCATTCCAACACTTGCTTTCCTCTGTCCATTCCAACACAAGCTTTCCTGTCCATTCCAACACAAGCTTTCCTCTGTCCATTCAAACACAAGCTTTCCTCTGTCCATTCCAACACAAGCCTAGCCCCAACCCTAACTCACCACAAAAAGTTTAAATAAAAATTAAATCATATCCTAGGACTAAAACTGATGTCAACTTAATGGAAGTCAAACAATATGAATCAGAACCGTCAAGGATCCTGTCGACAGATCTCCTGAGGTGTGGTCAATTTTGACTTCAAAACACATTGGAAATTCTAGCATTGAGAAATAATAACTCTCTTCAATACTCAACAACTTATGTTAGGCACCAAGGGATCCAGCAACACAGTCCAGCTCATAAAAAAATGACTTTCAGGAAAGAAAAAAAAGAAGCTCAATTTAAAAAAAATTAAATCAAAACAAGTTCATCTCTTTGGTTTGCTCTGCATGAATAAGCTCCAAGCTAATGAAGAGCTAGCTATCCTGATGGCTTGGATGATTTAACAGCATCAATTTTTATAGCTGAATAGCAGCACTTTGTCAACAATTATAATGAAAAACATAGGCCATCTGTTGAGAGGCAATCTTTCATGGGTCAAGTATCTGCCAGAGCGTTCAGCAAAGTCAGTCAGTTTTTTGCTGGACACCTCAATTCAATGCCAGTTAACTTGTGTGAAATCCCCAGTGTGTACCCGCTGACGAGGTCTATCTCCAAAAATGTATCGATCACGCTCTTGAATGCTCTCTGACAACGCCTGCATGTGTCTTGGTATATCTGCAAACTCGGCAGACTCCTGGGATAGAAAATTTTTAAAAATTAAAAAAAAACAACCCAAACCTACCAGCATCAGTTTAAAAAATAATAAGTACCGGCTATTTATATTAAATTAGATATTGCTATAAAATCAAACGTCACATCAGGACCATAGTCCCTTAAGCCAGAGTATTGACATACACTCACCTCAATATCATCATCTAGATATGACAGGTTCCTAATGTTCCTGGCTTGGGCTGGCATGGAGATGGGCACAGAGGTGGACATCAATGGCAATTTGTCATTCCCATACTCATCAGTGGATTCAAGGTGTGCATTGCGAGTACGACCAGATTGTTCCACATTAGAGTTGTTCCTGTTGCCATGAAGCTGGTCATGATCTTAGGAATATTATGTAATATTCTCTTAAATCCTTACACACCATTTCATGGTCACATTAGAAGATTAATCATGACAGTGTAAAGACGGTTCAATTAAGTTTGAGCGGTTATAGAAACTACTCACCAGATCGAAGCACAGCATCATCATCATCCTCTTCAATCTCCAACTCATCCATAGCAAAGACTGAATTAGAATACAAAATAGTAACCATAATACGAGTAACAGATTATTTTGAGTTTGTAAAACACAACATTCATATTTCAAGGTAACTGCAAATGTGTTAGTAAAAATGCAAATTAGTTTTAAACACAAGAGCAGACAAAATGTATGAATATTCAGAATCAGGCCTTTTTCTTAGGAGCTTTCGCAATTTTGTTAGTGCAAATACAAGGTAAGAAACACATGAAAATTTTTTTAAAATTTCAGACGCCATCTAATTTTTTTTAAAAGGTGCAATGTATTTCCATATGGATTCACATATTTTTTTAATGAATCAATGATTCTAACCATAAAGTGAGTTTAGCCACAAATTCCTACAGCATACATTATTTCTTATAGGCATAGTTTGAGAGCCAGTGTTAGATTCAGCTATGTTAAAATGATTCCTACCATCAGGACTTGAGTCCCTCAGCCTCCGGTTTCTAATCCCTTTAGCTGTGCGACTCAAAACTTCTTTTCCTCCATACTCGTTGGCACTTTTAGACTGAATAAGTTGAACTGAAAAGAAGAAATTACAAATTTCAATTAGATTTTAAAAATTCAACAATTATTTTGAAATAAGACCCTGTTATAGTCTATGGACATCCATAATTTGATTTAAAAACAATAATATGGACCAATTTCGTAAGCCTTACATGACTGAAAAACAAATACAAAATTAAAAAGTTGTAATTTTAAAATAAAACAAATCATATTCAAGAGTGAAATTTATTTACAGTTAATCCAACCATAATTTGGTTAAATATTAGTCAAAATTTGTGGACATCTATACTATCATGACAATTACTTGGCTAAAAAATTTGACTCTTAAAAGAAAAATTTGTAAAATAAAAAAAATATTAGGAAATTATTCATTTACATGAATTGTACATTACTGCTCAGAAAATCAATCAAATTAATAAATAGACTTAACATGTAAACAGCTGTTATACAAGTTAATCATGAACAAATCTCTAAGCAGTTACACAGTATAAGCAGTCCATAGCAATTTTCACAATATCTGAAACGTAAGTTATGCCTCTCTGATATGAAAGTGGAGGCAAACATTCCGAAAAGGACTTCCCAGCTACACTAAGAGGGAAAAAAATCCAAAACTTTATAAACCCTACCATGTCCACGGACGCTGCTACGGTCTTGGCTGTTAAGGTGATTGCTGCCCTCAGAGTTGTGAAACAGAACACTAGCAACAATAGAACAAAAGGTTTGAAACACAAATATTTAAATTATAACAGTACAAAGGTGGTTTAAATTGAAATATGGTTCAAGTCATTTGAAGAAGATATAAATCAAAGTGGTTTTTTAGTTAAGGAGAGTGCTCCTCTATACCTTATCAGTTTTGCCTTCTCGCTCTGAGCATCTTCTTTCAGCCTGGCAAAATTGTTTCTTTGGTCTTCTTCATATGTCCTGAGAATACATCACGTACTTATATTACACGAATGAATAACATAAGCAGATATATACGTACAACTCTAAAAAGCCAGTTATACATCTAATGTCAGACAGAACATACATTATAGATTTCATGAATAATAAAAACTATGCTGTGAAAGTCACCTGATTCGTCTTTCCATAGCCTCTTCTTCTTCCTTCAGATACTTGACCAGGACATCATGCAAATCCCCAAGCTGTTTTTGCAGGGTTTCATGAGTCTGAGGTGTGATGACTCCTAGATTAAAGAATCAAGATTTAGTTAACATAAAAACTTAAGAAATTTTTTACTAATCGCATAGTGTCTACAAGAAGTATTGGTTTCGAATAAACTCTAAAGAATTTGATTTTAACATGATTACGTAAAAAAACAAAAACAAACGACAACTCAACTCATAAAATATAATAGCTTCAATTTAAGGGTGTTCAGCGCTTTAAAGGAAATCATGAAAAATATATTTGTGGTTGTTATATAGCAGAATGACATATATAAATTATCAGAGTAATTTTCACTTCAATTACTGTCACAGTCAATCTCTGAAAAATCTTAATGCTTGTAAATAATATTTGTGTGTTTAATTTCTCATTGATATTATAATAGCCAACAGAGTCTCGGTAAAATCAACACAGATCCAAGCATATTATCATCAACTTATTTGAGTGCTATCACTCATGTATGCTGTTTCCTGCCCTCATTGTAACAGTCGGCCACTATCTCTTATGTAAACATTCACATATCACCCTGGCAGAGTCAACAAGTGTATATATAAGTAATCTTATCACAAACCATCATCTCTGAGTTTGCCCTCACTTGACCGGAGCACCAAGTTAAACACTGGTGAATAGTCAGCATGGATTTTCAGGGCCTTCAGAGCTTCTTCACCTTTCTTGAAAGAAATTATTATCACTTGCACTTAGATGCCTCCCATTTACTCTTTTTATATAACAGGAACAGAAGATTATCAACTAAAATTTAAAATACTAACAAGCTTTTAGTCAAATATCAATTGAAAATTTAATAAATAGGTTTAGTAGTATTTTTATTAAATAGTTTATTTTCAACACAACACAAAAGTAGTATTATAACATGGACATAGAATATACTTGCCTATATACACAGATAAAACACTACAATTTAGCTCAATCAAAACATTAAACTTGAAAAAAAAAAAGCTTTTGGAATGTACGAGGCATGTTTAGAGGCTTCATTTGATTTATTATATTCCAGACGCAGGGTCCATATGAGCCTTTCATTAATTACTAATTTAAACTGCACGATGATTTAACATATAAAATAGACAGCCAATTGGTCAATTAAAGGAATATATGCGATTTAAATACGTCTCCTTACCTCCATTTGTAAACTGATGACAACAAGTCTGGAATCATGGTTTACTGCATGGGTACGAAGGTGGCAGGGGACGCAAACATAAACAGTCCACTCTCCATCTCGCAAACGTTGCACAAGACACTTGTGACTCTGCAGAAAAGCATTGGAAGGAAATTATTTTCTATACTTCCAATGTGGAGGAAAGAAAACATTGACCTAATTCAGAATTCATCCATTTTTCATCAAATGCTTTGTTGCAAAGACAACCGGTAAAAAATACAATTCAAATATGAAATTCTAAATATTGATGATGCATAAAGTTAGTTGTTTGATGGCATTAAATTTTATTTTTTAATGAATAGATTATTTTGTGCAAACATATCCCCTAACAAGAGTAGGCTAAAAAAATCTATTCACATCGTTTATTATTTATGTCTGAACATCAGATGAGAAAGTATCAATACAACTATACAACCAATCCTTATTATGATGTGATTGGTAAATTGCCTTTGCCTGATGCAAACTGAAAAATATGTCAAACATGAAGCTCATTTTTCAGTTAAGGTTAATTAAATTTATTAACAAATGTGTGGATTTAAATAATTACAAAATTTAGCCAAGAATTTGTAACAGTATGTTCCTTATACTCACAAACTGAAAACCTTGATCAATCAACTCTACAACTTCACAAGATGGCCATAGGGGGCACTTTACCAAAGCATCTGAAAAAAATATTTTCATTAATAATAAAGTAATAAAATAATTCAATAGCTTTTAGAACTATGTATTAAATACATTTCTTGAGAAAAACAATAATATCAAAGCAATCTATTATCGAATTCAGAGTACCCCAGGACTCGGTCCTAGGCCCGGTGTTTTTCCACTATGTACATTCAGCCCTTGGGTGCAGTGATAAAGCAGTTTGACATGCTATATCACATGATCGCAGATGATACACAACTTCAGCAGTCTGTGATCCCCTCTCAGTTCCCTCAGCTTCTTAGTACTACACAGATAACAGTGGAGTCGGTTAAGCACTGGATGACCATAAACAAACTCAAACTGAAAAACGACAAGACTGAGCTGGTCTCCATCGCTACCCCTCAAAAGCAAAAATCTGTAAATAACACACCAACCCTTACTCTCTCAGGTGTGCGGATTGAGTTTGCTCAAACAGTGCGAAACCTGGGTGTCTACCTAGACAGAACACTATGGAAAAATCACATTAACATGCTTGGCAAGACGATTTTTCTAGAGCTGTGCAGAATTAGTCATATCAGACCTTTTTTAACATTTGATGCATCAAAGAGACTCATGTGTGCATTCATCCTATCACGCATGCTCTCATGGTGGGTCTTCCAGCTCCGCTCCAGGATAAAATTCAAAAAGCACAGAATTACTTCTGAGAGAGCTGCATTTGCTGCCGGTCCATGCTCACTGAGTACAAAATTGCAAGTCTGTGCTACCGCTGCTGGCATGACCTGGCACCATCCTATCTCAAAGTTTTCTTGATGCCTTACGTACCCACTAAATCACCCCATTCATCCGATAGTGGCAAACTCTGGATACCATGATTTCGCCTTGAAACCTACGGAAGGCGCACTTTCGCCTTTGCTGGCCCAAGAATCTGGAACGCCCTTCCTGTCGCTTTCAGAAACAGCCAGACACTGCAGTCTTTCAAAACTGAGTTGAAAACCCATCCTTTTCGCACTCACATGCTGAAATGATGTCGTCTACCGCCATGTTTCCAGCTTGCTCATATATCCTAGATGTATATTGGTTTGTATAGTCCATTGCTGTGATGAAAGACTTCGACTGGGTATGTTTGTATGTAAATTTTGTATTGTTGCCATTAGTAATTTTAATTTGAAAAAATATAAATTGTTATATATGGTTGACTTTGTACCCCGCTTCGATCCTTAAACAGGAATGAAGCGTGTTTTTGAAATGAACTTTATTATTAGTAATATAGCTCACCATTTTTGGCCAAAGCTTCATTTGATTTTTCTGCAAAAACCTGGACATTTAGACAATGGCATGTATACACAACCATGGCTGATGACAGTTTCTTGCTTCTGAAAAAATAATTGTTCAAATCAAAGAGACATATTTTAATTCATAGTATTTTTAGTGACAAAATTATGATAAATATTAAACTAAATATAGAAAAAGAAGAACAAGTACAATAACTTCAGATGCGCAGATTAAATTTCACACAGATTGTTTCTGTGATTGTTTTCAAATATACTGTACACTTATGTTGAGTAAGGATTATAAATTTACTTCCCTAACCCAAATGTTAGCTCTGCAATTGTGATTAAAATAAGAAATTTTTAATTATATTTCTCACAACTAATTAACAAACACTTCCAAACTAGAATACATATTGATATAATGGACTACTGGAAGCTGATGTAGTAAGGCAGATTAATTAGTCATCATTCAATTTACTTATCTGGCAACCCTAGCCACTGGCCTCAATAGATTTATCAAATTACAAATTACCGGAATTATGTTTGCTGATCCCATTAAACATAAATAAAACAAACCAAGAATTATGGCCATTCATATAAAAAAAAGTGTCATATTTCAACTAAATCTACTTATCTGACACCCCCCACCCAACTCCTCTGTTCACGTTTGCACACTTGACATACAAATACAATAACAATTGTTTTATTTCTGTTACATGTTATGCCTGTTTTTGTTGCCATTTTAAATGTGTATATGAATAATGCTTTTCTCTTTTAACTATATATTGGGGGGGGGGGAGGAATATGTTTACTGATGCCTTAAAAATAGGAAAGTAGAGAAAGTAACAAAGCTCATCAGAGTACTTAATTTTGTTATTTACAAATTTGAAGATGAGCAGATAGCCGAAAATTTTATTTTAGAAATTGCATGTTATGACTACAGTTTTTACAGTATATTTTTAGTTGCATTGGCTAACCTAAACTAAGCACTTAATTAATCATACTTAGAGTGACTTCTTTAATAATATTAATAACTTCAGTATTTTAATAAGTAGGCCTAAAACAAATTTCACAAAATTTTAATTTAACCCTCGGCTCTAGCAAACATTAGATACTTGGATAAATTATCTGCAGAGTTACATGCCCTTGGTTCAACTTTTTGTCCACTGAAAATGAAAAAAAAATTGCATGCGTGTTGGGAAAAAATGTGGTTTGCCGTCATATGGTTGTTAAACTGGTTGTGAGATTTAGCATTTTAAAGAGAATTGGATGCTAAACAAACTGTTTTTTTCTGATTTTTTATCATGACTATTTGTGGAAAAATATATCAAATTGAATTGAGAAAGTCTACAATTTCATTTTCTTGTACATTCTTCACCAGTCGTGATTTTCATTACCACCACCGTTTTAGGCAACCAATTATCTACAACTACAAGGAAGGGCAAATACATTTCCCCCCACGGCCACCCTACAAAAAAAACTTCATTACAGTTTCAAGACAATATTTTCTCCCTGGATACCATTGTTAATTTTCATTAAAGCTTGAAAATAGGAAAAAGCCTATCACCAAGAGTGGCAGCTCTCTCAAAAAGTCTCTGCTCATTGTATTAAAAGTCATTTTTATAATTTCTCATATATGTATGTCTCAATTAACAGACTTATCCCAAAATGATTCATGAAAAAAAGCATAACTTTTTTTAGAATTGAACTACAACCATTAATATGGTATCAATTGTTTTGTACAAGCCCTATTTAAATAACTAGTTCTTAAAGCTGTACATTGTCGCTTCATTTTAAAAATATTGTCCAAGTACCTACACACAGCATTGTTATCATCAATTAATTACTACTAGGGCTTAACCAAGTGCAGTTTTGTCACACTGAGTTACCTTGTCATTTTCTATACTATATACCAGCCTTTCAACATTAGTTCTACATAATAGTCCTACACCCTACCTGCCGGCCTTCAAAAAAAAAAGCTTACTGACAGTCTTTAATGATTAATATAACTATATAACGCAAGATTTTTGTCGGTCAGACTTGTCACGTGACCGCGAATGATTCAAAATTATTGTTAATTTTAAAATCTATTTCTCTACCAAGTAATGTACTGAGTACCTTGCAAACAAATAATAGAACAAAATACTTGGTTATATTAACAAAACAAAGTGGGAGTTAAGCAATAATGCATTCTAGAGGCTAGAGGGTAGCAATGCTGAGAGGGAGAGAGAATTACGATAATAAAAAATACAAATGCTAAAAAAATAATAGTGAGGGTGATAGTGAGCCTTCCAGTCGTCCGGCGGTCACGTGACATGCCAGCCGGACATATATCTCCCACACTATTTGTCCGGCGCGCCGGACGTGTCGACACTTTGTATTAATAAATATAAGAGATTACTGGTTTTTACTATTAGCTCAGGACCAGACTATAGTAGATATGGTGTAGTATAGGATAAGTATAAGGTCATATTACTTTTTTTTTATTAGCCCTGGCCCTAGCATAGTCTGATAAATAACTAGTAACATTCAAATAGGTAGCCTGTAATAATTATATACATAGTCCAAAGCCTCTATATTACTATCATAATAATAATATCTGTAACTATACTTACTTTTACTAACTTATACTATTTATTATTAATACATTTAAAATTAAAATTAGGCTGGCTTAGACTATGACTAAGACTTAGTAGATATATTTATTAGTCTAAAGTCAATAATAATAAAGTATCTATATTTTATAATTTAGATGTATCATTGAGGCTTAAGACAGTAAATCGTCCAGAGAAATAAGAATAAGGGTTAATAACTATGTTGAATTAATTGGAAGATCAGCAACTCCGATAAAGGCAAACCATAATTTGCCATAAAACAACGAAAATGCTGATACTGATATGATCAGCTGAGCTTTAATTTTTATTATTGTGACTGTTTCGCAGACTTTTTTTGTCTTTCGGTCTAATAATTTTGCTCCATTCGATACTTAACGCAGACATAATTAATTTTACATAATAAATCAAATAAATGCAACAGTAAAAACTTTTCCAAAATGAGATGAAATATGGCTATACTCCTTACGTTTCCCCCGCAAGCTATCTTCTACAAAACTTATAATTCCATTGCCTTCTCTGCACCAGCCGAAAGTCGGTCAACACGGGACTGATTTTGACCAGTTTTTAGACCAAATAGCAAATAGCATGCATTGTTATCTTTTTTCTTTCTTCTTAATATTTTAAAATAATTTTAATAAATTTTAAGTAATAGAAAAAAAATGTTTTTAAAAAGATTTCTATACCTTTTTTTTTTTGAATAGTTAGTATGGCCTATTGAATCCGATACGTTTTATTTTAAATAATTAGCAACAAAGTGAATCTAAAATGATATTAAAATATAAAAGGACTTTTTTTTTTTTTTTTTTCCATTGGATAAAAAAAAAAAGAATTTTTTTTTTTTTTTTTTTACCAGTGGATTACAATTACAATATAAATTATATTCATAATTTAGTTCCAGAACTAAGAATATTATTCTCAAAGTCTAAAATGTAGTTTAAAAAAAAATTGGATTCATTTGCGTAAGTCATAAGTTATATGACAACCTTAATAATGCTTTATGAAAGTGTCTCATTACAAACAATCTCACTGATACCAGGAACCCAGCCGCACATCCTTTTTATTTTATGCCAGGCTCTAAACTAGAGCAGGGGCTCCACAACTTTTTAAGAATCAAAGCCCGTTGACTGTCCCTCCGACGCTTTTGGGGGCCGAACTACAGTTTGAAGAACACAATTATGGAATTCCTATTCACTCTACACATATCTTATTTGTAGTGGAAAAACAAAACGAAACAACAAAAATACAATATTTAAAATAAACAATTTTAATGAAAATAAATTTATTAGTATTTCAATATACAGTTCCATATTTCTCTTTGAAACTGGGTAACTACCCGTATGGTGGCCAGGTACGCCGAGATAAGTCCACTGAGACCACTGGCGGGCCGGATCTTGCCCGCGCACCGTAGTTTGAGGACCTCTGCTCTAAACTATCAGGCGTAATGGCAATGGAAGATGAGAATATATTATAATTTTTAAAGATGTAAAATTAGATGTAATAAACTAAAATATCTACATAGATTATTAAAAACAATAGTAAAGTTTATAATCGTGTTGTTATTTTAAAGATGTAATAAATTTTATAACAATAATAAATTATACAATCTGCGAAAAGTTTTATTCAGTTATTTAAATTTAAAGTATACAACTATTATTAATATAATATAGTTAATGATTTTGATAATTCAAAATAAATTGGTTAAATAATCAAAATATAATAAAACTATAATAAAATAGCCATTAAATTGTATACAACAATAATATAATAATAAATTATATATGAATATATGTCATGTATCTTAAACTAAAGGGGAGTTATTCTAGAAAATACATTAATGGACTAGGATTGCCTTTCTTTAAATAAAATAAATAATACGATGTTGTGAATCAATGCCTTAAATAGCACCAGGAACATATTAGTTGTTTTTTTTTGTGTTGACCTGTTTAATAATGTGTCTAACGTCCAGCGTAATGTTCAATTAAAAATTAAAGATGTGGTTATATTGATACAATTTTAGTCCTCTGTATAAGACCTATTTGGCAGAAAATGGATTGACCATCCTAAAACACTTTTTTTAAAAATCGTGAAATTCATGCAATTTACCATAATTACCATATTTTTGTGTGTATGAAGATATTTTGTCAACTTCTTGTCTATAGTTTACATAGGCATATAATTGTTAAGTTCGAATGACCCCCGCCGAGTCAGCCTGCTCTGGTGACACCCTTGTCTTATGGTAGGCTGACCTTGTCTAGTGGTAGCCTACTCTGGTGACACCCTAACTCTTATGGTAGGCTGACCTTGTCTAGTGGTAGCCTACTCTGGTGACACCTTACTCTTATGGTAGGCTGACCTTGTCTAGTGGTAGCCTACTCTGGTGACAGGTGGCGCCCCATTCTTGTATTAAACTTAGATGTGTTATGAAACCGATCTTGATCGAGCTCTGTCAAATTTACTAATATTATTCACTTGGTGCCATCCCCATTAAAGATTTCTCATCTTCATGTCAGGGTGTCTACCCCATGTCAGGAGAACTGCAACTCCTTGTGAGGATTCACGGGTGCGGTCCGCACCCGCGCACCCCCACCCGCGCACCCCCAGGGACGCTACTGTTTATGCTGAAAGGGATGCAAAGGTTCTCATAATTGCTAGGGATGCAAAGGTTCTCATAATTGCTCACGACGAGGCCGTCCAAATGAAGCCTCCGATTGAATAACAAAATACCTTTGCGAACAAGGAAACATTGTTCATTCACAATCGAACCTGAAATCACAGCATGGAAAGAAAATATTGAACTGCCAAGACAGTTTCCATATTTCTTTGATTTAAGGGAAGTCCCTAAGGGGTCGTGCACATTAATTAGGTCAACAAAATAGGGGGGGGGGTGGAAATGTTTGACAGTTGTTGACAAGGGGGAGGGGGGGGGGTAGATTAGTTGACGTTTTTTCTATTAAAATTTTAATCTTAAAAATTGACTGGTTTTCACATTATTTGAAACAATTTAATGAGTGTAAATAGTCAAGGTGGGAAATTGTTGTTAGTGGTTGTCAAGTGGGAGGTGGGTGGTTAGATTAGTTGACGTTTTTTCTATTAAAATTTTAATCTTAAAAATTGACTGGTTTTCACATTATTTGAAACAATTTAATGAGTGTAAATAGTCATAGATGTTTAGGCTTGTAACACTATAAGAGTTATTTAATGTGTGTCTGTCTGTGCACTGCAGAGGACTGGTCAGAATGTTAGCACACTTTGTTAGGGCAACAGAAGTCAAAAGTTGGCATCTCTTCACCTGTCATTTTTCTCTTTTAATCTGCTCCCTAGAATGATTAACACATCGTTGAACACGGTGGAAAAAAAAAGTTAAAAAAAACAACAAAAAACACCACCTCATCGGTGTTCAAGAACAACTCGACCAACTCAAAGACAGAGAGAGAGAGAGAGAGAGAGAGAGAGAGAGAGAGAGAGAGAGAGAGAGAGAGAGAGAGACAGAGAGGTTATGGCAACTATCGCACACACAGACAATGCGTAAAAAAAAAAAAAAAAAAAAAAACAAAAAACACCACCCCAGCGGTGTGCAAAAACAACACGACCAACACAAAGAGAGAGAGAGAGAGAGAGAGAGAGAGAGAGAGAGAGAGAGAGAGAGAGAGAGAGAGAGAGAGAGACAGAGAGGTTATGGCAACTATTGCTCACACAGACAATGCGTCGACTTTAAGGGCTGAATGGTTAGATGAGGTTGATGTTGACTTGTCATTTCAAGGTTTTGTTTCAGGGGAAGGGAGGGGGGTGGGGTCAAAAACCAAATCTTGGTGGGCTTGTTAAATGTTTTATTACTGGAGGGGCCATAATTCATAGCAATTCAAATAAAACCAGCAAATGTCCCCCCTGCCCTACCCAAATGATGTCCCTGATGTCCATTGTTACGATGGAGCAACACCTACTCCATGGGAAGATCATAGCAGCTAGAAACTATGCTATAATTGTCAGCTATACTGACAATAATCCTATTTAAACGTCCGCAAACAATTATATTTAGTCTTTAAGAAACTTTCAATTGATTCTTCATTATAAAATTTAAGTGTACAAACTTGTGAACTTGTTCATTAACAAGCTAACGATGTAATAATTTGTTTTTCCTACAATTTTGTGTTATTAAAAATACATCAGCACAAAGTAAAACATATTTATAAATTTATTTATATTATAATTCATTGGGGGAGGGGGTTTATAAAATGTTGACATAATTAAATCGGGGGGGGGGGGGTCTTGGAAAGTTTGA